AGCAGCCTCCTGATAAGAGACATTACTCGCAAATCTAAATGTGAACGCCGCTCCACACCTAGTTTTGTGAGTAAGGTGTTGCTCCTCACCTTCGTCATGCTCCTCACCCTCCTCTTCTTCCTCCTCCTACTCCTCCTGCTCCTCCCCCCTTCCTCCTCCTTCGTTTCTTCACTCTACCCCCACCTCTCCGCTTCGTGGCGTCACTCGCAAATCTAGTTATGAACGCAGCTCCACAACCAGTTTTGTGAGCAGCCTCCTGCTACGAAACATTACTCGCAAAACTAGCTGTGAACGCCGCTCCACACCTAGTTTTGTGAGTAAGGTGTTGCTCCTCACCTTCGTCATGCTCCTCACCCTCCTCTTCTTCCTCCTCCTACTCCTGCTGCTCCTCCCCCCTCCTCCTCCTCCTTTTCTTCAATTTACCCCCGCCTCCCCGCTTCGTGGCGTCACTCGCAAATCTAGTTGTGAACGCAGCTCCCCAATCATTTCTGCGAGCAGCCTCCTGCTACGAAACATTACTCGCAAAACTAGCTCTGAACGCCGCTCCACACCGAGTTGTGTGAGTAAGGTGTTGCTCCTCACCTTCGTCATGCTCTTCACCCTCCTCTTCTTCCTCCTCCTACTCCTGCTGCTCCTCCCCCCTCCTCCTTCTTTTCTTCACTTTACCCCCACCTCTCCGCTTCGTGGCGTCACTCACAAATCTAGTTGTGAACGCAGCTCCCCAATCAGTTCTGCGAGCAGCCTCCTGCTACGAAACATTACTCGCAAAACTAGCTGTGAACGCCGCTCCACACCTAGTTTTGTGAGTGATGTCTTCCTCCTCACCCTCGTCATGCTCCTCACCCTCCTCTTCTTCCTCCTCCTACTCCTCCTGCTCCTCCCCATCCTTCCTCCTCCTTCTTTTCTTCACTCAACCCCACCTCTCCGCTTCATGGCGTCACTCACAAATCTAGTTGCGAACGCAGCTCCGCAACCAGTTTTGCGAGCAGCCTCTTGATAAGAGACATTACTCGCAAAACTAAATGTGAACGCCGCTCCACACCTAGTTTTGTGAGTAAGGTGTTGCTCCTCACCTTCGTCATGCTCCTCACCCTCCTCTTCTTCCTCCTCATACTCCTCCTGCTCCTCCCCCCTTCCTCCTCCTTCGTTTCTTCACTCTACCCCCACCTCTCCGCTTCGTGGCGTCACTCGCAAATCTAGTTGTGAACGCAGCTCCACAACCAGTTTTGTGAGCAGCCTCCTGCTACGAACATTACTCGCAAAACTAGCTGTGGACGCCGCTCCACACCTAGTTTTGTGAGTAAGGTGTTGCTCCTCACCTTCGTCATGCTCCTCACCCTCCTCTTCTTCCTCCTCCTACTCCTCCTGCTGCTACGGCTCCTGATCACTCAGCCCCCTCCTCTCCACTTCGAGGCGTTACCCTCCAATCTAATTGCGAATGCAACTCCACAACAAACCTTGCGAGCAACCTTCCGCTACGAATCATTATTCACAAAACTTGTTGTGAACGCCGCTCCACAGCTAGGAAGAGGCGGTGGAAAATGGGGGAGGATGTTGCTCAACTATGGCTGGTGCCACTGGAGCTCGGCATTCACCAGATGACGCGGAGGAGGAGGAGGAGAACAAGGGGCTCAATTTTGAGGAGTAGGGCAAATATGGTTTGGAGGAGAAGGTGGAGGAGGAGGTGGTGGAGGGGGAGGAGGAGGAGACGATGAGCAGGAGGACAAACATTGGGAGGAGGAGGAGAAGGAGGAGGAGGAAGAGGTGAATGAGGATTCAGAGAAGGAGGAGAAGGAAGAATAGTAGGAGGATTCTGATGAGGAGGACAAACATGAGGGAGAGCTTGAGGAGAATTTAAAGAAGGAGGAGGGGAAGAGAAGCAGGAGGAGGACAATGAGTTTGAATTTGTGGAATCGGAATAGGAGGAGGACAACATGCCGAAGAGGATATGGAGGAGGATTCAGAGAACGAAGATGAAGAGGACAAGGAGGAGGAGGAGGAGGAGGAAGAGGAGGACAAGGAGTTTGAAAGTGAGAGGGGGTAGGAGGAGGAGAATGATGAGTACAAACATGAGGAAGAAGTGGATGAGGATTCATAGAATGAGGAGGACGAGGGGAAGGAGAAGGAAGAGGAGGAGGAAGAGAAGAGTTGAGGCCAATGCATTTGATTTTGAAGCGGAGGGGGAAGAAGACAAACATAAGGAGGAAGAGGATGTGGAGGAGGATTGGGAGACGGTAGAGGAGGAAAATGAGGTGGAGGACGAGGAGGACAAGGCGTTTGGTATCGAGGAGGAGGAGGAAGAGGAGGACGAGGAGGAGAGGACAAGTATGAGGAGAATGTGGAGAAAGCTTCAAAGAAGAAAGATGAGAAAGAGAAAGAGAGGGAGGGGGAGCTTGAGGTTGAGAAGGAGTAGGATGCTGAGGAGGAGGAGGAGGAGGGGCATCATAAACATGAGATGGTGAGATTGGATTGCAATGCGCCGCGAAAGACTGAAGTCGCTTCGCGCTGAAGTGTTTGGATTGCAATCGACGGAATTGCGGTTTGCAACGTAGCAAACCATCATGAAGAAAAACAGGAGGAAGGAACGGGTTATGATGACTGGAGGGATGATGGGAGAATGTGTATGATCATGTGGGGGGGGGGGGCGAGCACATATATATATATATATATATATGAAAGTATACTATCCCAAGGGGAAGCGATAAGTCCGGGGGGGGTAGGGTCTAATCTCTTTTCAGACAGGAGAATTGATTTTTACCCATGAAGTGACACATCTCATGCTCTTGCAAACATCCCACCCACACACCCGCACCTTGGTTTGCAAAACCTCTTAAGACCGTGACGGTAGGTTCCAAATGGCACTTGGCAACGACACTGGCGCCGACGACGACGACGACAACGCCGACGACGACTACGACGACACCGACGACATCTCCGACGACTTCGACGACGACGACAACGACGACGACGACGACGACACCGACGACGACGACGACGCCGACGCCGACGACGACGACAACGACGACGACGATGACGACGCCGACGGCGACGACGACGACGACGCCGACGACGTCGACGACGCCGACGACGACGACGTCGTCGACGACGACGACGACGGCGGCGACGACGACGACGCCGACGTCGACGACGACAACGACGCCGACGCTGACGCCGACCACGAGGACGATGTCGCCAACGAAAACGACGACGACAACGACGAGCGACAACGACGAGGGAGGAGGGAGGACGGCGACGACGCGAACGACGAAGAAGGAGAGAGGACGGCGACGCCGACGACGACAACGACGAGGGAGGAGGGAAGACGACGACGACGACGACGACGACGGCGACGAAATAGCATGGACGACGACGAGACGCAGACGACAGACGACGACGACGACGAGGGAGGAGGAGGAAGGACGACCACGGCGACAACGACGACGGAAACGACCACGACGCCAAAGAGGACGACGACGACGAACACGAGGAAAGACAGAGGACGACGTAGGCGACGACGACGACGACAACGACGCGGGAGGAGGGAGGACGGCGACGACGACGACGACGACGACGACGCAAGAGCGCGCGCGCACGCTTTTGTTGAAAATCCGTGTTGCGAAACCTTGTGTTTTTTTTATAGGTTTTTTGGACACACGATTTTGAAATCCTTCCGAAACCGATGGGTTCTGAAGGATTTCGGCATACGCGCGCGACGACGCGCGCGTAAGCGCAAGGGCGTTCGACAGATTTCGACATGTGCGCGCGCGAAGCCCGTTTGGTAGCATTTTGTGAACATCTTGAAGAACCTATGGTTTTCTTAAGATTTCGCAAGAGCTCGCGCGTAAGTTTTTTCCGCAAATCAGTGTTGCGAAACCATGTGATGTTATATGTTTTGTTGGAAGTTCGATTGCGAAATCCTCCTCGCACCGAAGGTTGTTTTGTTGTTTTTAATAGAAAAATGATTTTGGCATGCGCGCGCGACGACGCGCGCGTGTGCACTTCGTCTTGTTTTTCGCACGGGTATCGTGGAACAGTCTTATGCTCGAACCAAAAAATGTTCCCGCGTATAGTTTTTTATAAGGGAACCTTAGGGGGTCGATACTGGCCCCTCTGGGATAGTGCATATGCATATTTAGGATGGACATGTGGTCATAATTGTATATGTTTTACATACCTGAAAGGGGGGGATAACGCCGGGGGGGGGTAGAGTCTATTCTCTCTGTAGAAAAGGAGAAGATTCGCAGCACAATGTATGCGAGGCGGCGGCGGGGGGGCAGCGACAATGGAGACAGGAACGCGACGGTGAGTTCGGAGCTGCTAGACCCACAATCAGGCCCAGACGACGGGCGGCGACGAGGCGGCGACGGGGCGGCGACGGCGAGCACGGAACCGCCATACCGACATTCAGGCCCAGACGGTTGGCGGCGACAAGGCGGCAACGGGGCGGCGACGGCGCTCGGAGCCGGCAAACCAACATTCGAGGCCAGCTCCGTAGAATAGAAGTAAGAATTCTTGAGTGCACGCGCGAATGGGGGGTTAAGGTTCAGTATGCCAAAAAGAATACGCGGAGGGGGCGGGCTGCTCCCCCGCCATGTTCGCGGGGGGGGGGTGAGAGGCGCGGAGTGTTCATATCGAAGAATTGTGGACGAATGGGGGCACGAGGGGGATCGGAACACGAGCAGGAGGATGAGGAGGATGGAGCATCTGGAGCAGGAGCAGCTGCAGCAGTCGGAGGAAAGAGGTGAAAGAGTAGGAGGGAGAGGACGCAGGGGGGGATGAGGGGAGGAGGAGACTGCGCATCGTACGAAGCGGAGTCAGCAAAAGGCAGCTCGAAATGGGTTGTCTGGGAGCGGTTCTGTGAGCCCCATGGTGATCTTGTGCGGAGTGGTGTAGGGCGGTTCGGTATCGTTTAGCGATTGGCCCGCTGCAGCGAACCGAGGTGAAAGCACGGGAGGGGAAGGAGCGGGGAGGGAGAGAGGAGTAGGACGAGCCTCTGCGAGGGCGTCTACGTAGACATCGGCTGCGAGCTGCTCCCGCGCGTCTTCGCGCCGATCAGGCAGTCGCTGGACACGCTCGAGGTCAACCAGACCGTGACCGCCACGATCGAGAAGGCGCACTGGTGGTCGCGCCTCTCCTCTCCCGTGTCATCATTCTCCGTGTTTTTCTTTCCTTCGCCCTTCCCCCTCGTTCCACGCGTTGTCCTTCTCCTCCTCCTCCTGATCCTTCTCGCCCTCCTTGTTTTTCTACCTCATAATATTATTTTTCCTCTTCCCTCCCTCCTCCTTCCCCTCCTCCTCCTCCTCCTCCTCCTCCTCCTCCTCCTCCTCCTCCTCCATTCCATCTCCTTATAGATAACTCCCCCCTGTCGCACCCCGAGGCCCGTTTTTAGGGCGGGCCGGGCGTTCCGCCTGAGACTTCCCCACCGCTTATGACTCTGAAGCTTGCAAAATGATAACAGCTTGACAGATGGAGGGCGGGCCGCTTTCAAAATGTGGCTCTCGCCTTAGCGCCGCGCACATTATTTCTAAACGTTTGCAAGAGTTTCAAGGATTGAGGGCGGGTGGTTTTCAAACTGTGTTTCTCGCTCTAGCGCCGCGCACATTCGTTCTACAAAATTGCAAGAGTTTCACGGAGTGAGGGCGGGGGTCGTTTTCAAAATGTTGCTCTCGCTTTTGCGCCGCTTACGTTCGTTTTCAAAAATGGCAAGTGTTTCACGGATGGAGGACGGGTTTTGTTTCAACATGTGGCCCTCACTTTAGCGCCGTTTACAGTCGCTTTACAAATTTGCAAGAGCTTCACGGATTGAGGGCGTGTGGTTTTCAACATGTGGTTCTCGATTTAGCGCCGCGCGCATTCGGTTTTTACATTTGCAAGAGTTTCACGGATTGAGGGCGGGCCGTTTTCAAAGTGTGGTTTTCGCCTTAGCGCCGCTTATATTCGTTAAAAACACTTGCAAGAGTTTCACGGATTGAGGGCGGTTCTTTTTCAACATGTGGTTCTCGCCTTAGCGCCGCTTGCACTCGTCTTAAACATTTGCAAGAGTTTCACGGATTCCCCCGATCAGCGAACGTACCATGAATGGTGTTTTGGAAGGATTCAGGATTATGCGGGCGCAACAGTTATGTTGATTCGCTGTGTTGAAGTCACAACAATGGCGTTCTGGCACGATTCTGAATCGTCAAGGCGCAGCAGTCAGGTGGCTACGTGGCGTAAAAATCCCGAGAACATTGTTCAGGCACGCGTCAGGATCTTCAAACTATTGTCTTCCAGCGAGGCAGGTCCCTCAATGGAAATGAACCTTTGTATGGGGTCTATGAAGAGGGAGCATGGAGGGAGGGTTAACTCCAACATCGTTGATGATTCTTGGGTTTCCACTGGTCCTCCTCCTTCTCCTCCCTGTGGGGCCCACCTCCTTGCCTAGCTTGCGGCCACGTCTTGAGGGACAAAGCCCCCGCCCTGCGTAGTTGCGACGGTCCAGAGACCCAGCAGGTTGGAAGCGCAACAGAGTGGCCATCGCCCCGCGGGGCGGAACCGATTATTAGAGGCTCAACTTGGGCCGCCCTCCTCCTCTCGTCCTCATCCTTCTCCTCCTCCCTATGCCTACGCCCTGTTCTCTTTCCTCCATCCCTCCCTCCCGTCCTCCCTTCTCCCTCCCGTCCTCCCTTCTGGTCCTTGTCCTCCTCCTCCTCTTCCTCCTCTTCTTTCCTCATTGTCGACCCCCGTAGCCATCTTGGCTCAAGCCAATCGGCTGGCAGGCTGCTGTTCTGCGCAGGGGTTTGGAAGCCGTGGCTGTGCCAGGGCTTCCCGTTGCCAGGCTCGGCGAGGCGCCGCGCGCCGTCGCGAGCGCACATGGAGCCGAAGGCGTGCGGCAGGGAGGCGGCAGTGCGCAGGGCGACTCGCCATCCCGACACAGCAGGAGCAGCTTCAGCACTTCCGTGAAGGCGAACAAAAACGGCTGCCTGGCTGAGGGCCACGCGCGCATCTGACGTGCAGGCCGAGGACAAGGCACGGGCTGCAAGCGAAGTGCCGCTTGCAGCACGGCTGCGGGCGCCGGGCCAAGTGCGCTCAGTTTCCTGGAGTGTCTCATCGTGCTTCGGAGTTGAATCTTCTCACTGATGGTCTGAAGGGTTGTTCAGGTTGGGGTTGTGCTCTCGACCCGCCTCGCACACCCTGCATACCGCGGCCGGCAGGCCTCAACCCCGGCGGTCCTTTTGGGGATCCCGCCTCGTGTCTTCGACGAGTGACGACTGCAAGCCGCGGCCGCCAGGCCCTAAGTATCCTGGTGATTCTTGGAGTTCTCGCCTCGCCTCTTCGACGACTTGCTACAAGACGCACACATATCATACACAAAGAAGAGCACACATACAGAATACGCATGTGTGTAGCACGCAGGAAGCACGCATCAAAAACACCTATACACAACATGCCTACGTAATAGTCTTTTGATATCCATGCGAAGCCCAGCGGCAGAGGCAGAGAGAGAGAGAGAGGAAGAGGGTGGAGGGGGGAAACAACGAGGCCACGGGCGCGGACGCGCCAACTGGCCTCTGGCCGCAGGCGGGGGCCGAGTACACGGCGGCGGCGAGCATTGCCTGCCGCGTGGCCGACCAGCAAGGGCCCTCCCAGAATCGGTGCTGACGGTCCTCCCGCGCAGCTCCACAGTGCGGGCATCGCGCTGGCTTCCCCCCCTTTGCCGCCACCGACTCCGTGACCACGTTGCCGGCCAGCACCGCCCGGAGCGCGCCGGCGACATCTGGGGCGAGCTGGTCGCTCTCCAGCAAGCGCCGCGTGGCCCATCGGTCGATGCCCTCGCCGACGTGTGCGAAGTCGGCGCGCCTGGCGGCGACCGTGCGAGCTTCGAAGTGCGCCCAAGCCTCGAGCAGCACAGCCCGCGTGGCCTGCAGCGGGCGCTAAGCTGGTCGCCACCCTGTCGGCGCCGACGGCACGCCCCCCCAGCATTCCACGTCGGGCCCCAGCTGAAGCTCTGCCATGCTGCGCGACGCTGCCGCGAGATGGCCCTGGCCACGACCGTGCCCGGCGGCGATGGCGCCCTGCGCGGCCTTCCAGATCCCAGGGAAACTCCCCCGCAGCATCGCCTTCGCCAACTGCCACAGCGGCGCGATGACCGCCTTGGCCGTTGGGTCGAGGCGCCAGCTGGGACTGAGCACGCCGAACACCACTTCGGCGGCAGCGCGGAAGCCACCTCGGCAGACCGCGTGCCGGGCAAGCCAGCTTCGCACGCGCGGCCGCGACGGCACAGCGGCGCGCGCGCCCGGCGGTAGCGGCGACCCCAAGGTCCTTGAAGCCCGTGCTGGCAGCCACCGACGGCGTCTGCTCGGCAAGCCAGCGCCGCACCGCGGCCGAGTTGGCGAATTACTTACTTTTGTCCCGGTTGAGCCGCCACCCCATGGTTTGCTCGAAGGCGTCCGTCTCGCGCAGCGCCTCCCGAACAAACCCTGCAGCCTCGCGGCGTCCTGCGCTGGGCGTCGCGCCCACAATGTGAAATCATCTACATAGATCTGGCGCCGTGGGGAGTCATCTATCTCCCCCAATCGCTTGTGCCACGGCAGCGTGAGCACGCTCAGGAAAATGACGGCGAGCGCACAGCCTGGCAGGATGCCGCTTGGTGGTTCCCAAGCACTGCCGAGTGCAGTGGCGACCCGAATCCGTTTGCGAGCGGAGCAAGCGTGCGCCGCCGGGCCGACGATCCACGGCGGCACCCCAGCGCGCTCGAGCAAGCCAGGCAGGGGTCGTAAGCCTTCCGCCAGTCCAGCGCCGCCCCAGCCATGCTCTCGCCAAGAGCTTCGGCGGCCTCCAGCTCCAGGGACAACTCCCAGGCGAGCTCCTCGACGCCGCGCTGCATCTCCTCGCCCGCCCAACTGCGGCGCCATAGCCTGAAGAGCCGTGCGCGTCCTGCAGCTCAGAGCCGGCACAAGGTCGGCAGCAGCCAGATCGGCCGCCTGTCCAAGGGCCCGCCTTCACCGCCTGCCTTCGGCAGCAGCAGCCCTTCCGCCTCGACTAGCTCCAAGGGCCACCAGCCGAGCGCCTCCACCTCCTCGAAGAGCTTGGCAATCCATCCGTGGAGCTCGGCTGACAGGGGCCGCAACTCGCTCACCGTCCAACCATCGAGCCCCGGCTTCTTGCGCTTTGTCTTCTTCCGGAGGAGCTCGCCAACGAGGTCGGCCGTCCAGGGGGCCCGCTCTGGGAAGGCAGGGAGGCCATCTAGCGCGCGCAGCCACTCCTCTCCAAGTGGAGGCGCCGCACCCCCCTGCCAGATTGCCCTCCAGGGGCCTTCGAAGAAGAAGCGAGCACCCAGGACCGCCCGCGCGGGGCGGGGGGGGCGCCACCTGCGCGAAGGACGGGTCGGGCACGCGGTCGGCGTCAAGGCTGCCTTCACTGCTGATCCAACAGTAGAGCCGACCCTGGGAGTTTGCCACGCAGTCCTGTACCCAGCGCCGCCATGCTTCCCGCCTGCGGCATCGCGCGCTCGCGCGCGCTTCTACCCGCGCCGACGCTGCCCGCTCCAGGAGGCGCGCGGGCAACACAGCATCCGCCCGCAGCGCCGCCAGCTCAGCGGCCCATTCGGCACAACCCGAGTCGGCAGCACGAAGGGCTGAGAGGGTGGATTCGGCCACCCGCCAGGCCGAGAAATCGGCGGAGCGCCGTTGGGCGTGCTGCAGCCCGCGGAGCCGCCGCTGCCCAGCAGGGCAGCGTCGGCCTTTCTGTCGGCGGCTTCCGAAGCCGACGCATGCGGCCTGGCTGGGGCCACGGAGGGCCCCAGCCGGGGGGCCAACCAGGCCTTCATCGCCGTGCTGAGCGTCTGCCACGCGGCCTCCACGTCGTGCTGGGCCAGGGCGCGCTGGAAGGCCTCGCCGTGCGCCGTCTGCGCGGGCGGTAACCTGGGCGACCTCCGGCCCCCATCGCACGGCGGCGGCGCCTAACAGAGGCGGGGCCGGCTGACGGATGAGCGCGCGCTCAGGCGTGGCTGCGCGGAGCTCCGCCTCCAGCGCCGCGCGCGTGGCGAAGCCCAGGTCCCACCGGAGGCCGACCCGCTCCACGAGGCCGATCGCCGCCGAATTCGCGAGCACGTAGTCGATGCGGGACGGCGCGC